TCATCCTTACGATGCCCGGGTGTCCGTTGTGGAGCGTCTCGAGCGTCTTCTTCTGTAAAGTGCTGGGAATCAGCACCCGGTCTCCCCATAGGATACAGCCTTTCATGGTGGACAGCTCCTGTTGCTTCCGTGCGAAAGGGCTGAACTTTTCTGCCGGTTTTTCTGCTGGCCAGCCTCGCAGGACCCAGGATCTCACTTGCCTGAGTATGGGGTCCCTCTGGGTATGGGTGGCCACATCTGCTGACGTCACTGGGCAGTCTCTGTCGGCGTCGATGTGGAGGAGGCTTATGGTGGGTGTGGGGTCTTCTACTGGCTCTTTGGATGGGCACCTACTCAGGGCATCTGCGTTCCCGATGGTTTTGCCGGGCTTATGAATGAGTTTGTATGAATACCCGGCAAGGAAGATGGCCCAGTGTGTCATCCTGGGCGACATGTAGCCGGGTGTGGGTTTGTCACCCGCTAATAGTCCCAAGAGTGGCTTATGGTCCGTGATGACCGTGAAGTTCCGGCCATATAGGTACTCATGGAAACGTCTGACTCCAGCCACAATGGCCAAGGCTTCCTTGTCCAGCTGGCTGTAATTCCTCTCGGTGCTGGACATCGTTTTAGAGAAGTAGGCGATGGGTGCCTCTGATCCGTTGGGTAGCTGGTGGCTGAGGACTGCGCCAATCCCATATGGTGAAGCGTCGCAGGTCAGCAGCAGAGGAAGCGTCTCGTGGTACTGGATCAGCACGCTGTCGGAGGATAGGAGTCTCTTGATGGTTTTGAAGGCGTTTTCTTCCTCTGTTCCCCATCTCCACGGGACCGCTTTCCCCAGCAATCGATGGAGTGGCTCAGCGGGTGTTGCCTTCTGTTTAAGGAACACCGCATAAAAATTTAGCAATCCCAAAAATGCCTGAAGCTCGGCTTTGTTTTTGGGGGCTGGAGCTTCGTGGATTGCCCTGACTTTAGCTTTGGTGGGGTGGATGCCGGTGCCATCTATGAGATAGCCCAGGAACTCGACCTCCTGGACTCCAATGATGCATTTGTCCCTCCTTACTCTCAAACCCTTCTCCTTGAAGCGCTGCAAAACTTGTTTAAGTCGCTCAAGCAGCTGGGTTTTTGAGTGCCCGGAGATCAACACATCATCAAAGTACGGCACCACCCCTGGAATGCCTTGGAGAAGGCGTTCCATCATTGATTGAAAAATGCCTGGGGCTGCGCTGACTCCGAATTGGAGGCGGTTGCACTTAAATGCGCCCCTATGGGTGACAATTGTTTGCGCCTCCGCAGTTTTTTCATCCACTGGCAATTGCTGGTAAGCCTGGGCCAGGTCCAGTTTTGCAAATATTGTCCCACTCCCAAGTGAATGCAGCAGATGTTGCACCACTGGGACTGGGTATGCGCTCTGCGACAGGGCCTTATTAATCGAACATTTATAGTCGGCGCAGATGCGCACAGATCCATCATGCTTCATGGGGGTCACAATGGGTGTCTCCCATGCTGCATGATCGATTGGTTCCAACACGCCCTGGGCTATCAGCTTATCTAGCTGAGCATCTACTTTGGGCCTCAGGGCAAACGGAACTCTGCAGGGCTTAAGCCTAATGGGGGTAATTGTCTTATCAAGATTAAAGGAAATGGGCTTCCCCACAAATTTCCCCAGCTTACCGTCGAAGACTTCCTTGAACTCTTCGAGGAGGGTGTCGAGTTCGTCCTGACGAATTTGGTTAACCCCTACTATTCCGAGCCCTAGTGGCTTGAACCACTCCATGCCTAGCAGGGTTGGGCGGTCGTGCTCGACGATGGTGATGGGGAGGTTGCCTTGGAATTCTTGGTAAGACACGTGGAGCGAGGCTCTTCCCAGGACTCCGATGTGGTTTCCTCCGAAATCCACCAGCCTGGAGCGCAGGGGTCTCAGGTCTCTCTTGCGGACGTCTGGCTTGATGCGTTTTAAGTTTTTCCAATCCATGATTGAGTAGATGGAGCCAGAGTCTACTTCCATGGAGCATGGGGTCCCTTCGAGCAGCACGGTCGCGTGGCACTTGGTGGCGGTGTCGGCGTCGTCGGAGAGGTGTATTGTGGTTTGGTGTACTGCTCTCCTCCGGTTCCCGTCGCTCTCACCCCGTCTGGATTGGTAGGAGGATCGTTTGGATGCCCTCGCGTTGTCCTCCCGGTTTTCGCGAGGGCGGTGGCTGGAGGGCTCTGGGGCTGGTTCCTCAGCTCTGCACGCCTCTGCAATGTGCCCTCTCCTGTTGCAACGCCGGCAGGTTGCGTCTCTCCATTTGCAGCTGGCTCTGGCATGGTCCCCTCTGCAGCTGGCACAGCGCTCCCCCTTGTAACTTTTTTGGGCGGTTTCCCGCCTTGGGGGTCTGGATACCTTGTGTACGGTGGATTCCTCCTCCGACTCTGATCCCGCTGTGGAATCCTCAGTTGATGATTGCGTTGTGGAGCGAATCTTGTGGATTCCCTTTGCTCTGCTTACTGCGGCGGCCGCTCTCTCCGAGATTTCGGATGCGGTGGCTTCCTCCACCACATCCTTGAGCACGAGTTTCTTCCTGCTCAGGAATTTCTTTTGCAGGCCTCTGTCCCTCATGCCGAAGACCACGCGGTCAGCGATGGCGTTGTCCACATGATCGAACTCACAGCTGGCTGCGATTTGGCGCAGGGCAGCCACGAATTCTTTGACGGTCTCACCTTCCTTTTGATCCCTCTGATGGAAGGTGAAACGGTTCGCCACTGGTGTTCCAGTTGGGGCATAGTGTTCTTCCAGGATCTGTAGCAGGTCCGTCCATGGCACTTCTTCGATGTCTCGTGGTGCGACGAGATCGATTGCCATATCGAGGACTTCGGATCCACAGTTAGCCAAGAAGATGCCCTTTTTCCGGTCATCATCGGCATCCCTGATGTTGTTTCCTCTCAGGTATTGCCGAAATTTGACCACGTAGGATTTCCACTTGTCCTTCCCTGGGCGGAAAGGAGCAAGGGCTGGCAAAGTGACTTCAGCTGATGCCATGCCTCTGGAAATCCCTACAAGGTGACTCAGTTCTCAGTGACTTAGCTCTCTGAGGTTGGCTTGTGCCACGAGGTTCGTCGCTTGGTTCAGTTCCTTCGTCGCCAGTGTTAGAACGGCGCAGGGAAAGCAAGACGCGACCAGCTCTGGTCCAGTTCAGTACTTTATTCAAGCACAGGAAAAAGACAAGCGGCTGGGCTGCCGGAGCTCCTTTTATACGCTCCGGCCGACTCAGCCGCCCACTGACAGTTATTTGAATCTCCTGCCGGAGGATTAGCCAATCCCCGGCGGGTGCCCATATAAGGACATAACACCTACTATCTGGAACGAGCTCCCCCCCTGGAGATACGGAGGATCCCGGATCTGCATACCTTCCGCCGCGCTCTCAAGACCTTTTTATTCCATCAGGCGGGCCTGGCCTAACTTTCTCCCTCTTTTTAAACAATTTTAATAATTTTAATATTTTTAATATTCAAAGTTTAAATTTGTTTTAAATTGATTGGGGTTTTAATTTGTCTGGGCCAAATTATTTAATTCGATTTTATTTCTGCTTTTTAAATTTTGTATATATGTATTTTATTGTTGGCTGTTCACCGCCCTGAGTCCTTCGGGAGTAGGGCAGTATATAAATCAAATAAATGTAAAAGTAAGTAAAAAAGTTAAATTGCTGGCTGGCCACTCCCCTCCCTGCCCCTTCCAGGAGTCCCCACGCAACCCATTTTGGCTCCAACGTAAGTGCAGGGAGGCCTCCTAGGCCCAAAATAGGGGGTGGGGGGGTGCATCCCCCTGGCCCGTTTTTGCTCCCAGGGGAGTGCAGGAAGCCGAGTGCTGCCTGTCACACTCCCTGGCCACGCCCACCATTGCCACGCCCACCCAGCCGGTCATTAGGGCAGAGAAATTATTTGAATCCTGCTACTGGCTTAGAGTATTTGTTGCATGCCTATACTGTACATACACTAAACAGCAAAACAAACTGTAGGCAAAGGCAAAACTGTGTTGGCGGGAGATCCATCCTTCAAGGTTTACCAAAAGTTTGCTTTGGAAAACCAGCCTACACCGAATCTCCCTTCCTCTATTTTGTCACATTGGTTCAAGTTGTCTTGTGTTGTCCAATATATTGTTACCTCAAGAATTGTCAGCCTTGGAGGTAGGCCAGGCCAAGGCACAGATGCTGAAAGCACTATGGGAACTCTGCGTAATTCCTAACAGAGTATAAAAACAAAATCTTGAAAGACTGGCAGAGTCTTTCTTTCCTCTTTTATGCCAAAGAGAGTGAAGATTGGGCAATCTGGGTGTCTTTCTCACATACTTCCAGGGCTAAACAATTATTGAATTTCTTCTTCAAAACCATTTCTACACTCTTCTGCAAAAATGACCCAGATGGAACGAGTGGGGAAGCACAAGGCTGCCTTTATGGCATTCATCCCCTCCCCTGCCCAATTCTTCTCATGTCTATTCTTTCTTCTGGCAACATATTGTGGATTGTAAAGCTGAGGTTAAATAAGTAGACTTTTAATGGCATGGCTTTCACCTCACGGGAAAGGAAGTCTGGGCCTCAATCACAACTAAAAAGCAGATCAGGGAGCTGGAGAGAGAAATTCTCCCCTTTGCTCATCATTCTGCTGGACAGCTTTAATAGATCCCCTTTATATTTTCTGAAGAACTCTGTGCAGCTGGGAAAAAAACAAAAATAACCTCCAGGAGTAGAGAATTCAGAAGCAGCTCTTGAGGGTGGTATTTATAGAGAATGTTCTAAACTTGTCCAGTAAAACTGTGACAAGTTTTTAAGTGATTTGTTTTGCTGTTGGGAGATTGCAGGGAAAAGGATAGGATTTGTTTTGGATGTTTTCATTTCTTCCAAATTTGACCTTACCACGATGAAAAGGGCGGTAGCTAGCTAAAGATCAGCCTATTTGGCAAAACATAAGAGTTGTAGAATAAATAAAAACAGGGAGGAATGAAACCTGATAGCAAGGATTCCTGTCCAAGAAGGAGGAGGAAGAGGAAGTAATATTACCAATGTAGGTTATTTATTTGTTTGTTTAGGGCCATCAAAAATAGATTTGTTCCATATTCTAATACTTCAAATGGAAAGGACACATTAGGTAGTTTGTCTTCTGTTTTCAAGATGTTATCAAGGGTTCTCCAAAGGATGCACAAATTATGTAAACAGCAGATATTTATAGCCAAACGTCTGTTTGAACTCTGCATAGAGCTTGCACAGTATTATTTGAAAACAACTGTTTTCGGGTAGTATAAATCAGAACGAAGGGTGCTTGACTTGGAAATTGACGAATTTGCCCCAGAAAAGGATTAATGCGTTGCAAATCGCTACCTCAAACTGACCCTGTTTTCCCAGAACTGTGAGCTGAAAGATTAAAAACGCAACATTGCCACCACATGGATGGAAGGCGCCAGACAGCTCTGGGCATCCCTGGTGGAGGTTCATTTTCCTCTGTCGGTTGTGTGAGCTCTTGAGGTGGCGAGACAGGATGGAAAATCTGTGGAGAAGCAACAAGTGTTAAAAAAAAAAAAGCTATAGGATGGAGGAGGTAGAGGCCATTTTCAAAAGAAATGGATAATTGTTGAGCTGGAAGATCACACGTGGCCAGCGTGCCCTCTGCCTCTATTCTAGCATGCTGCTCTGTATCTATGGGGATTCTCAGTCATCCAGGTCATGATTGTCCCAAAGGTGGTTTTCGAAGGAGTAACTGGACTTTCTTTGTTTTTCCTTGAAGACGTTTCGCTTCTCATCCAAGAAGCTTCTTCTGTTCTGAACTGAAGAAGCTTCTTGGATGAGAAGTGAAACGTCTTCTAGGAAAACATATGACTAAAACATATGATGAACGGTTGCAGGAACTGGGCATGGCTAGTCTAGTGAAGAGAAGGACCAGGGGAGACATGAGAACTGTCTTCCAATATTTGAGGGGCCGCCACAGAGAGGAAGGGGGTCAAGCTGTTTTCCAAAGCCCCTGAAGGCCAGACAAGGAATAATGGATGGAAACTGATCAAGGAGCGATTCAACCTAGAAATGAGGAGGGATTTTCTGACAGTGAGAACAATCAACCAATGGAACAGAAGTTGCCTTCAGAAGTTGTGGGAGCTTCATCCCTTGAGACTTTCAAGAAGAGATTGGACTGCCATTTGTCAGAAATGGTGTAGGGTCTCCTGCTTCAGCGGGGGTTGGACTAGATGATTTATAAGGACCCTTCAAACTCTGTTAATCTGTTAAAAACAAAGAAAGTCCATTTGCCTCTTGAAAAAGCACCTTTGGGACATGTCACTTTGTAGATGGCTGTCCAATGTGTTTCTCTACAGCTCCTTGTTCTGGGACTTAGAATCTCAATGTCTCAGCAGGACATCTGGGTGGCAAAGGTCAAGCAGATTAGAAGCCATGGATTTCCTCTATCTTTAACTCCTTAGATCTAAATGACAGTTTAACCAGCAGCTCACCATATGGTCAATTTTTCCAGATCAAGGGGCAGACACTGAGAGCAAGCTATGCCCGGGAAGCCAGATTAAAAAACAAGCTTAGAATATTCCTCAGTAGTTTTTACATTGCTGTCCCACTGAACAAATTAGCTTTTCAATCAATATTGATTCTATAATTGCAATATAATGAACTTCATTCTATTCTTAAATCAGATTCATTCCAGACATTAGGCATGCTTGATTTAATAGTGGGTGAATTGATTAAATCTCAGTTGCCCTGAACTAATGTATTTGTTAGCATTCAACGTAAACAACATTTTAGAAATAATATTAATAAAATAAAATAAAACTCTAAATGCACGGTTTGGAAATTGTTGTTATCTCTCTTGGGGATGGGAGAGATCCCTTTATAAATTGGTACCAATATGGAAATATAGGCTATGGTTTTCCCAGTTGCAATGTATGGCTATGAAAGTTGAACCATAAGGAAGTCTGAGCGCCAAAGAATTGAGGCCTTTGAACTCTGGAGCTGGAGAAGACTCCTGCGAGTCCCTTGGACTGCAAGGCTATCAAACTGGTCAGTCTTTGAGGAGATCAACCCTGACTGCTCTTTAGGCCAGATCCTGAAGATGAAACCCAAATACTTTGGCCACCTGATGAGAAGGAAGGACTTAGTGGAGAAGAGCCTAATGCTGGGGAAGATTGAGGGCAAAAGAAGAAGGGGACAGCAGAGAACGAGGTGGCTGGATGGAGTCACTGAAGCAATAGGCATGAGTTTAAATGGACACCGGGGATGGTAGAGGACAGGAAGGCCTGGAGGAACTTTGTCCATGGGGTCACGATGGGTCGGACACGACTGGGGACACAATGGGGACACACAACTAACAACAAATGGAAATAGATCTAAAATCACAGAAATATTCCTAGTTTCCCTTTTTAATCTGCAACAGGAAAATTAGTTTAAAATCCAGTGGCTTATATGGCTGAATGGCTAGTTATTTTTTGGCTCTGAAATAGAGGGGTTTTTGCCCTCCCTACAAGGATCCATTAAAAATCAATTCTCTTTTTTGCCTTTATTCATTGTGCTCATGACTGCCATGAGTGACTGTGCAGCCCAGGGAGATATTAAGTTAGATCAAGGGAGATCCAAGGTCATATCTTGAACTGGTCCAACAGTGAGTGCTTCAACACTGGAGGCTTTCAAGAAACTGGTCAACCCTTTGTTTGAAATGGTGTAGGGTCTTCTGCCTTAGCAAGGAGTTGGACTAGAACAAAGCTGGCTGGGGAATTCTGGGAGTTGAAGTCCGCCAGGCTTAAAGTTGCCAAGGTTGGAGACCCCTTGGACTAGAAGACCTTCCAAAACTCCATTATTCTGGTCTTCATGAGAGGCTCTTACCTGGAACTGCTCTTCCATTGGGGACAAATGGTTGTTGGGGCTCTCCAGAAACAGATCCTTGTGGTGCTGAAGCATATGCAGGAGCATGGCATTGCAAAGGGTTTGCTTTTCATATGCCAAAGGGCTGCAAGGAATTCTAGAAAATGCACACCAAAATGGTAGTTATAGTAGTAGTAAGAAGGAGGAGGAGGACAAGGAGGATGGAATGCTGTAAGTTTAATGTTTCTCAGACTCAAGTTTTGCTCAAAAGTTTGAAGATGCTCTCTGCAACTCAGCCTTGGCTTCCTTTGCTTTATACCTTAACATGACTAAAAAAAGGCTCATTTTCTTGAATGGAAAACTCCCAATGATGATAAGGAAATAAATGAATGATTTTGTCAACCATCCCTTTCCTTTTAAAAGCAATAGTGCTTACACTTATATACCGCTTCATAGTGCTTTTCAAGCACTCTCTGGGCGGTTTACAATTATTTGCATCTTGCCCCCAACAATCTGGGTCGTCCTTTTACCGACTTCGATGGAATGGAAGGCTGAATTAACCTCAAGCCTCATCAGGATTGAACTCCAGACTGTGTGCAGAATTAACCTGCAATGCTGCATTCTAGTCACTCTGCCACCATGGTTCCGTCTGATCCCAATATTTGATCCAGTGGTGAAATCCAATTTTTTTATTCTGTGGGCATGGCTTGGTGGGCGTGGTGTGGCTTGGTGGGCATGGCTTGGTGGACGTGGTAGGGGAAGGATATTGCAAAATCTCCATTCCCACCCCACCCTGGGGCCAGCCAGAGGTGGTATTTGCCGGTTCTCCGAACTACTCAAAATTTCTGCTACCGGTTCTCCAGAACGTGTCAGAACCTGCTGGATTTCACCCCTGATTTGATCTCAACAATAAGAAGCATTACGAATTTTGGCTTTGCTATTGATGCTTGAGAGATTTTTTAAAAAAAATACAGAGAATCTATATGTTGTGGGAGATGCAATTTGGATCATAAAATGATGTCATACTTCACTATTATCTGAGGTGCATCTTCAGAGGCCCATTTAGATTCCAGAGCGAAACATTAAATTATCACTTGCTCTAATCAAGTGATCCTGTAATTCTTCCAGTCTCACTCAGGAAGGATAATTAGATGATCAGACTATTAAAGGTGAATTAGATGGCAGCTCAGGATGAGGTGTCGAAAGAACTTCTTACCGGAATAACGTGGGGCCGAAAACAATGGCCAGATTCTCCAGGGTCATCTGATTCACATCACTGTTTGCAGCCACCTTGGCAAGAAATCTAATGAGGAAACGAGCAAGGCAACTGTGGGCTTCCGGAAGTCTATTGAATAGGCTTTTTAGACATCTTGTTTGCTCTGTGGTGCAGTTTTTATTCTCTGTGAAAGACGGGACGGTAATGATTAACAGAGGAAGATTAACATCAGTTAGAATTTGTTCGGTATTTCATAGGTGTTGACTCTCAAGGCATGTGCTCAAAGCCTTGCTGAATTGGGGTTCCCCAGAGATGGCAGCTGGCACGTCCTAAACAAAGAATTGCACGCAGGGCTCCTGAATACATTTGATACGGAGCGGCCTCCCTCCAAGGAAAGGATGGAGATTTCATTCCGTGCAGATGCCTTCAGAGCAGATTTATGGTGGAATTGGCGACCAAGGCCCATGTTTAGAGAGCACTGCTGGTCTTTTAAGATTATGCAAGGCTAAAGGAAGTGAGCGAGGGTTAAAAAAAAGACAATATAATTTTTTTAAAAAACATAATCAAGGGAAGATGGGTCCAGTATTGGAATTTAAGTAAATGTCATACGCATGTAACAATAAGCTAGCATGCAGTTTAAATTCTTGTTTGTGGCCCAGAATAATATTTTTGTTATGAAGGTATTATTATTATTATTATATGAGATTTCCAAATACAAACTGTAGCCTTGACTCATAAAACATTTGATTTAACTCTATTTGAAATTGGAGGAGGAGGAGGAGGAGGAGGAGGAGGAGGAGGGAGAAGGAGGAGGAGGAGGAGACATCAAACTTTCTTGATTCAAAACAGGAGTGAAATCCAAATTTTTTCCCTACTGGTTCTGTGGGCGTGGCTTGGCGGGCATGGCAGGGGAAGGATATTGCACAATCTCCATTCCTACCCCACTCCAGGGGAAGGATACTGCAAAATCTCCATTCCCACCCCACTCTAAGGCCAGCCAGAGGTAGTATTTGCCGGTTCTTCCAAACTACTCAAAATTTCCGCTACCTGTTCTCCAGAACCTGCCAGGACCTGCTGGATTTCACCCCTGACTCAAAATAAAAATAAAAAGTGTTTTATGTACTTGCTGTACCTTCAAAAATAGCCCAAATATCAGTGCACAGTTTCTCCGGGAAAACAGCAGTTGGAAGCTGATTCAGGAATAGTTTAAGGAGGCCGGCAACAGAGTTGATATCTCCTTCCTTAACAAGATCAACTTCTTCGCCTTGATCATACTTTAATCTAAGCGCCCTGATTTTGGCTGCTGATCCATTGATCCGAAAGAGGCCTTTGTGGTTTAGCCCTAGGAGAACATGCAACATCCTGTGTTGTATATTGTTAATGGTAAATACATTCTTACAGAGCTCCAAGAGGATCCATGAACAAATAGGGGTTTGGAGGATCCCCAAGATTCATAAAATTATTTTAAAATATAATTATATTAAGGGGAAGAAAGGAGACCTTCCTCCTGCCAATTCTGATTTTTTTTTTTTAAAGGCAGGACGTTCTTTAGAAACATTTCCTTCTACAAATTTCTTCCATGAGACAGCAAAATGCAATAGAGTGTTGCTTTCTTCTTCTTCCTCCTCCTCCTCCTAGGTCAGGAATCAGCAACCCATGGCTCTGGAGCCGCATGTGGCTCTTTCATCCCTCTGCTGCTTCTCCCTGTTGCTGGTCAGCTCCACCATTGATAGGGCTTTCGGTTAGGACAGGTAGAGGAAAAAGGATGCCGTGCTAGGAGGAGACTCTATGGTAGCAGAACTGGACTTCCAATCAGCAGGAAACAGGACACCATGTTAGGAGGCGACTCTATGATGGGGGAACCGGACTTCCGGTCCGCAGAGGAAAAAGGGCGCTAGGAAGAGACTATGATGGGGGAATTGGACTTCCGATCGGCCCCAGAATTGAACGGGGGCTTCCAGTTAGGACCTTTGTGGTTCTTTGAGTGTTTAAGGCTGCTGACCCCTATTCTAGGTAATTTATTTATTTATTTATTTATTTATTTATTTATTTTATTATATTTCTATACCGCCCTTCTCCTGCGGGACTCAGGGCGGTGTACAGCCAGGATAAAACATAGCATATAAAATTTAAAAACATTTTAAAAAACAATTAAATAATTTTGGCCCGAATTTAAAACAACCCAATTAAAACCGAAATTCGATTAAAAAACTAAGAGGATGGGATCAATAATACTGTGATCAAATAAAAACAAAACTAAATATAGTAATTAATGGTATTTGGCCACTGTGTCTTCATTTGTCATTCTATGTACAAAACCAAATTTTATTCATCCTCCATTTCAGGTGACAGTACCTAAGATTACCTGGCTGTAGGCATTATTTATATTACCATGGCCACAGAAGAAAAACCTCCTAGAGCAGGGGTCTCCAACCTTGGCAACTTTAAGACTTGTGGATTTCAACTCCCAGAGTTCCTCAGCCAGCAAAGCTGAGGAAAGTTGAAGTCCACAAGTCTTAAAGTTGCCAAGGTTGGAGACCCCTGTCCTAGACAACCTACTTGTATTCAACTTTCATGTTGCAAAGAAAAAAACCCCACAGTATCTGATGCAAAGCAAATCTTTCCACTGGATTATCATTGCAAAAACCAGCTAATAAATCTCAAACTGGCAAGCTCACTGAAACTGTGCGCCCAACTCAAAATAGAATGCGTAATAGATTTGCATATAATCTACTTCCAGATCACACAACTTTTTCCTCCAGATGAGGCTGTTTTCTTCTTTTATCTTGGACCTGTTGATTCTTGGTAGAGTTATGGAAAAGCGATGAGTCAAGGTGATACTGGAGATTAGAGCTAAGGTGGAGGCTTTGCCTTGGCCATGATCAGTTGGGTGGCAACTTCAGCAAATGCATCATCATTCAAAGGGGAATTTCCTGTATCTCCAGGATGGTTGGGGAAATGCCAACCAGCCTGCATTTACTTTGTCTAACTAACAGGTTTGTCTGTACAGTTAGAGGAAAAAGCTACCAGCCGTGATGGTGGCGCAATTTGCAGGCCAATTCTGCCTACTGCCAGGAGTTCAATCCTGACTGGCTCAAGGTTAACTCAGCCTTCCATCCTTCCGAGGTCAGTAAAATGAGGATTCAGATGGTTGGGGGCAATATGCTGATTCTGTAAACTGTTTAGAGAGGGACATATAAGTCTAAGTGCTATTGCTATTGCTATGCAACCTGCCTTGTGCGTCTAAAACTAGACTGAATTCAGCTTCCACCTTATGCTGTTTGTTCTTCATTGCTATGTCATGACAGACTGCCATGAACTGTGGGGAGAGGGAATGAAGGGGGAGGATGCTTGGGAAAACGAAAGTAAGTGCTGTATCTCTTCAAGATGCTGCCTCAAGTTCCCCCAGCTAGAAGAAAGAGGGAGCTGCAAGCTGCAAACTACACTTGGACTGACCATTATGAAAACATATTGCCTCAACCTGATTGGCCATACGGAGGTGGGCAGTGAGAGACAGCTAAGTGAGGAAAGGTTGAATTTAGGGATTTTGGCACGCGATTCTTAGTTCTGGCTTTGCATTGCTGCAATACACTTGACTTGTAATAAAACTATACTTTTCTCAACCAATGGAGCCAAGGATTGTATCCATTTAGAGGTTTCAGTTGTGGCAGGTCTGATACTGATGCCTATAGGTTTTTATAGGAGGAGGTAACTTCTTTTCTATCCAGAAATGCCCTTGAGAGGACAATTTCCAGATTATAATAATCCACATTTGATCCTTGAATTTGTTGATTCTGCTTGAGATGGGATCTGGACAGGATGACGATTTACCTGACAAACTCAGAACTGTCTATGGACAGTCATTGCAAAAGAAGAGATGTCTGGAGCCACATTTCATCAGTGACATTGAATGGACACCATTACCAGCGATATTAATCCCCAAAGTACATGCCATTACCTGACCAAATGCAAACACACTTCGTTGTGTTGAGAATTTCCATCTGAAAGCAAGAAAATGGTCACAACCAAGGAAAATCATTAACTTACCAAACTCTTCTAAATATTCCACTGTGTGTTGGACAACTAAAGGAAGAGACTGTTGTGTCGTATCCTTGATGACTACATCAAGGGGAGAACCAAAGATTCTTTGAGGCTCCGGTCCAATTTTGTTTCCACCGTGCTTCACTTTTACAGATGACAATGACTGCTGCAAAGAGACATAATTGTGCTGTTGCCCTTGCTTGCACCATAAATTTACAAAATTTATAAAATGTCAAGGTTCTAATAACAGGGATATGGAACTGAGTTGTGAGCCTTGAAAATTGTTGGGCATGGATTGATGTATTATGCAACATTCACTGAAAGTAATTGAAGGAGGGACATTTGTTAGTTCCACTAACTTGAGCAAAGATGTTGTGTGCCTTGCAACCTGACCTTCCCCCAGCCAATTAATATTTTAAATGAAATAACCTTACTGCATAAGAAGTTTAAAGTTTATAAAAATGTATAGTTTTTCTTATTCCTGCACCCACATCCTTGGTGTAAAACGCAGGTAAGCCTTGTATTACATTGATCTGCCTTCTTGCTTGATTTGTACACATACAATTTATGACTGTGGCCCACATGCAAACTTCTTGTTAATTATAACAGAAAAAGCCTTACACTTAATCAAGCGTGCATTTAGGGTGGGATTAAATCAGCCTTTCCTAAGTGTTTCTTGAAAACAAGATATATTACACCTAGAGGATTACCTCAATTGACTAAACAGAGCTCCCAAATAAAACAAAAATAGAAATAAGTTCTGTTTCCAGAAAACAATTATTTTGACACTTTTGGGTTCATGCCACATTGTTGCATCCATCTTTTTAAGATCTGCCATTGTTGCTGATGCCAAATTTGTTGCTTTGTTGTTTGTTGCTTAGTTTATTCATCATTCATGTTTCCAAAACTGCCCAGCTTCTTCATACCTCTTTCCCACTCATCCCTTTTAAGGACAAAACGAAGTTGGACCAGAGTCTCCAGGATTTTTTAAGGGTTTGTCCAGAGGTCTTCAAACTTGGCAGCTTTAAGACGTGTGGACTGTTGAAGTCCACCCGTCTGAAAGCTGCCAAGTCTGAAGACCTCTGGTCCAGACTATCAATTAATACTTCAAGAGTTAGTGAGAAAATTAGGGTAACATACATCTGGTGACATCAGAATAATGGAAGAGATCTTCTAGTCCAGCAGGAGACCTTATAGCATTTCAGACAAGTGGCTGTCCAGTCTCTTCTTTAAAAAAAACCCAGATGAAGCTCCCACAACGTCTGAAGTCAAGCCATTCCACTGGTTCATTTTCCTCACTCTTAGGAAGTTTCTCCTTAATTCCAGGTTGAGGTTTTTAAGAAGAGACTGGACACCCATTTGTCTGGAGTGGCATAGGGTCTCCTGTTTGAGCAAGGGTTGGACTAGAAGATCCCTTCAACTCTGTTATTCTGATGTCACCAGATTTATGGTACCCTAACTTTCTCATTAATCCTTAAAGTATTAATTTGATGTAACGGTAACAGAGTTGGAAGGGACCTTGGAGGTCATCTAGTCCAACCCCCTGCTCATGCAGGAGACCTGTACTAGGGATTCTAACCGCCGACCTTTCTGATCGACAAGCTCAGTGTCTCAGCCGCTGAGCCACAAGATCAAGCCCAAGGAAGACCTCGCCTTGCCTAGCCTGAGTGTTTAAAAAAAAACAAAAAACGGGTCTCTTCCAGGGACTCCAGGGCTGTGTTCACACGAACCGCTTCCCCTTGGCTGATGAATTTCATCCTGATCCCTTCCCCCACCACCCCAAAGCCAATCTAACTTTAACAGGTGCAAATGCAGCATCTTTACCCACGGAGCCGAGCGCGCTTGCTTGCACCTCACCCTTTTCCAAGACCCGGCTTGGTGCTGGTCATAGGAACCCCACCCTAGATGCTGCTCCGTTGTGCCAAGCATACTAGTCCTGAAGCAAAGAGTTTGACCCCCCCCGAGCTTGCAAAGTCTACGTGCAGACACCCATCGCCAGGGGTGAAATCTAAATTTTTTCCCTACCGGTTCTGTGGGCGTGGCTTGGTGGGCGTGGCAGGGGAAGGATACTGCAAAATCTCCATTCCCACCCCATTTCAGGAGAGAATACTGCAAAGTCCCCATTCCCTCCCCACTCCTGGGGGAAGGATATTGCAAAATCTCCATTCCCGCCCCACTCTGTGGCCAGCCAGAGGTGGTATTTGCTGGTTCTCCAAACTACTCAAAATTTCCGCTACCAGTTCTCCAGAACCTGTCAGAACCTGCTGGATTTCACCCCGCCCATCGCCCTGGCTGGCTGGAAATTGATGGTCTGGACAATACATTTCTTTTATTTTGAGTGGATGTCTTCAGAATCTGTTTTTTAAATCCTGCCTTTTTATAGAATGATTTTGTGGGGCTCTCATTCATTTTAGACCCTGAATAATAGACCTGGGATGTAGACTGAGGGAGAGTGACAGGCCAAAGTCCTCTGGTGAGCTTCCTTGGTCGAGGAGGAACTAGAGCCTGGTGGTCCCCATTCCTTCTCCAACACTTTGACCCCTCCTCCTTTTTACCTCTATAATTCTCTCTTGAGCACCAAGTTATTGAAATGAAAGCTAGTATATATGATTCTGTTATTACGGACATGATTCCGTGTTGGGGTCAATATTACTTTGATGAGCAATATTAAATTGAAGTGAATCCAAAAATTTAATTCCATTCATTTAATTGTTTCTCAGGCTTGGAAAGCATCCTTCTGTGAACAGAAATTGCTTTTCTGCATGAAGCAGAGCATCTGGACTCAGCCCAGTAGATTCTCCTCTCAAGGCTGAGATAGCAAAATAAAAACTGGTATTCACACTCAAGGGACAATTCCAGGGTCTAAGGTCAAATGTCAGATGAACAGTTGTCACGTGAATTTCCAAGGGAGTCCAAGTAGAACAGGCTGTACCGTAATGCAACATCTCTCAAATATTAAAAAAGCAAATGCAGCTGAAATGTTCATCATTATTAACTTAAAGTTAGAATTTGATCATGAATATGAGTTTGACTCTTTGACTGTAGTGTGAAAAAAAAAGGGTACAGATTATTTTAATGCACTAAGATAGAGTAAACCTCATTGCCTTCAAGTAGTTATTTGAAATAAATCAAACCCAAATAAATAAGCCATATTCCTAAGTAAACATCCTTAAAATCAACGCATAAAAGACAAAATATTGACAAGGGGGAGGGGGGAAAAGGAGAACATTTACAGATAGTAACCAAGTAGGACTGGGACAAAGCCAATCCTGGGTCTTCTTGAAATAAATCAGTCATTTGCAGCATCCTTCTGCTCTTACGTACTCAGAAGGTGCTTTTGCAAACCCTCAGTTAAGCCCAAGGAATTTCGTTCCACTTACGCAGATGGAAATGGAGGCCCCCGTCCCCATGTTAAGTCTGAACCAGAAGTTCTCTTAGGAGAGAAGGCCCACCGTCCAACCATGGTGTTCCTCTGCCCATCGGCACGTCAACAGGGCTGGGGCTATGTAGAAATTCATCCTTCCAGGTAGCCTTGGCAGGTGCTAAAGTAAACAAACAAAGGCAGTCCTTAGCAGCACCAGATTTCTGCTTAGGACACACTCCGTACCTACTGAACCCTTGGACAAAAACTCCCTGGGATATCAAAGCTAAGGATGTTACCATGGCATCCTGCATACACACACACACACACACACACACACACCAGGAAGCAATGACTTCCGGCAATGTGCTCTCTGGACAGCAGGACTAACTGGAGTGGCAAACAGGAGCCCTGGTGCATAAGAAAGGCAGAAATGACTCCATTGTGGGGGCATTTCCAGAGACTTCATTCTGCAAAGAAGCAATGCACATTTTCAGATCTATAGTTTGTTAGGAGAAGGGAACAGGTGGGGTCAGAGCAGTGATGGAATTCAATTTTTTTTTTACTACCAGTCCTGTGAGCGTGGCTGGGTGGGTGTGGCAGGGGAAGGATACTGCAAAATCCCCATTCCGTCTCCACTCTGGAGCCAGCCAGAGGTGGTATTTACTGGTTCTCCAAACTACTCAAAATTTCCACTACCGGTTCTCCAGAACCTGTCAGAACCTGCTGAATAGCACCCCTGGGTCAGAGGAAATCTTTGGGGGCCCATGACCTAACAAGAATTTGGGGAATGCTAAGTCATCAGGTGTATGGTCCTTTGCAGGAAAAAAAAAAGTCAATTTGGAGGCCATGATGGTATGATTTAACCTCTGCCAGTTTTTTGTGTGCGTCATGCATGCATCTTTTTGGAAATGGATGCTTCTCTCTGGCCAATTGTAAGATAACCCCAGGCTACGCTTGGTTATCAGGCATTATGTGCGGGTAACGGAAGCTTCTCCGACAGCAGAGCACTCAGTGGGCAACAGGTGTTGATTGCACAGTGCTTGACAAAGGAAAGAAAGAGGACCCTCCCCTGCTGCCCACCCCACCTTCCTTCCTATCATGCACATTGAAAACACTCCACCCGCCAGTTCAGTGTCGGTTCCTGGCTTGTCCCGTTCTCATGCTGGCAGTCCAGGGAGCTGATTGCAGGTTCAGCCCTGACACAGGAGCAAATGGATCTTTGTGTCTGGAGCCCAACCAGTTGCCCGGGTGGTGTGATACTCCATGGAGAGGACCTCCCTTCCCCCAAGAGCTGCCACAATGTGCTTCTCAGCATTTCAAGGTCTGCAGAACCAGAGACGAACACAAACCAGAGACGATCATTGGTTGCTCTGCAGGGAGAGAGGAGCCAAAGACCCAACGGGAGTGAAAGTGCCTTTTGTTGCTTTTTAACAGGGCTCAAATGGTTTTGACTTACATGAATGCACAGCTGGAATAGGGCCAGAGACAAGCAAGGACTTGTGTAAAAATGCTTCTGTGGTGGACGGTGGAGAAATTTGGGCCATAGGCAGAGGTAGCATTCAGCCGGTTCAGACCGATTCACCTGAACCACTAGCGGAAATCACGGGTAGGCCCACCCGCCCACCTACTCACCTACCCACCGAGGCTCTATGCTGGCGAACCATTTCGCCGAATGCCAAAATGGGAGCACGCGTCTGCGTGCAGGAAACTGGAAGAGCAGCTGCCCGGTGTACATGCATGCACCGGGAAGATGATTTTCTGGTTTCTGGCATGCGCACTGGCCACCTGGTCTTCCAGTTTCTGGTGCACATGCACGCGTGAAGACCAGCTGGTCGGTGCGCATGCACTCCAGAAACCAGAAGATCATCTTCCCGGTGCACATGTGTGTACCGGGCGGCTGCTCTTCCTTTTTCCAGCACTCCCACACGTGTGAAGACCAGCTGGCCAGTGGGCCGGAACCTGGAACAGCAACAGGCGATGGCTCCCGTGCCCAGAGAGATGGCTTTGCATGCCACTTCCAGCACGTGTGCCTTAAGTTCGCCATCACGGCTCTCTGCCATCCTATTTAGGCACATTTTTTAGCTGCACGCATGCGTGCAAGCCACACGTGCTTTCCTCGTGCGTGCTAACATTTGCGAACTGGTAGGGAAGGTAAGTGAACACCAGCCTTGGCCGTAGGCTTCATAATATGGACAGATGTTCAGAAGGAATTGCTGTCCTGACTATTGTATGCTCCTTGCCTAAAGAAACAATCCTCTTCCTTACCAAATTGCTTTTCTTTTACACACATCCATGTTATCCTTGCAATCAGAATTAATTTGACGATGAGTATGATCAGTATAAATGCAACTGAGTAAGCTACATGAACTTACAATGGAAGCCCCATTTATTTCTACAGAGCATTCAATAGCTGAATGCCTCCTACCAGTAACCTTACTGTTATTCACGAAGAACCATAGAATCCCAGAGGTGGAAGAGACCTTGAAGGTCTTCTAGTCCAATCCCCTGCCCAACCCAAGAGTCCTTATGCCATCCCAGACAAAGATTTGTACATACTTCCTCAACCAGCTAATTGGTTTATCTACCTGGCTTTCCATTTTTTTTCTCTAGGAAGCCTATTAAATGTTAAATGAAACAATGAACCATTTTGGAACAATCTGGTCAGATTTAAATTGAGTCAAATTTCAAGAGTGAAGATCTTTGGAAACTTTAGAGATGGATTTTTCTTCTAATGTAATGGAGCTTTTATGTGCTTAACTAGGAGACCAATGAACTACCCATTTTCAGTGGCTGCTTAAGGATGAACTACATACATAACTCCAGTGCAGGTGGCCAGATTGTGCACAGCAGCACTGGGGATTCGTCGCAAACACGTGTCTTCTCCACCATAGTGATGTTATATAACAACTGTGGCAAACCCTTTGCACTTAGTTCTTTCCCTTTTAGCATTGAACCTACAATGGGCCAGTTTATGGATTGCAACTGTAGTATAATCAGACCATGTATAATTGACAGACTGGATTTTATTATAGATTTTCGTTATTTATTATTTTATAGTAGAATTTTTAATTGTATATTTACTGAGCGTTTTTATTTGTCCTGGTCTCTGGTCTAAGACTGTAATAAATTGATTGAATTGAACTAGGAGTTTTGCTACATTGCAATGTTATAAGATCCCTAGGGAACTCTTGTCTTGAATTTGTAAAATAAATAAAATCAATATTTCAGTTCTGTGGTTGGTGGTTTCTTTAATAAATTGTATTTATTCCTTGGTTGTATAGATTTCAATTGAATAATTTTTAACAGATCCTAATGGAAGATGCAGTAACTTTTTTGCCATCCAACATCTTCACTGGTATTAAATGCTACATTCTTGTCGTGCTGTTTATAGATCACGGGATCTTTTGGCAACCTACGAGATTCCTCAGGGAAACAGGGTCTTCGGTCACTTTCATGACCCTCAGGGTGAGGCAGCCACTCCCAACCAAGCAACACTAAGATTCCTGAAGAAGGAAGAAGTACTGTGCCAACTTGGCCAAAATTAAGTACAAGGATTACATGTAAATGAATATAAAATACATTTGTTGCACCAGAAAATACTTAGCAAAACTGTAGTACAATACAATGTGAGTGAGAAGAGGAACCTCATTCAGAAGACTGAATATGCCGGTTCTAGATCCAACCGTTTTGAATACTTGCCACGGCTTGCACACTTACCCTCCTGATCAAGGAGGAGGAGGAGGAAGCTCGTCAAGAGAAGCTCCACCTCAACAGCTGAGCTTCACTGCACCTTAAAAGTTTCTTGCTCAGTTGCAATCCAGCATTGTCATTCCTAGGCACAAGCAGCATTTTGCTAATTATGGGCAATGGCAAAGCAAAAGGCCCCGTTGTGTTGTGTGAACACATTAGCTGCAATGGCCAGGACTTGATGTTTTGGCTCAAAGGTCCAAGTGTTTCAAAGAAGTATCAAAAGTGTCATTAAAAACCTTTATAAATAGATGCAAAAGTTACTAAAAGTATCGGTATAAAAACAACAGCAACTATTCCATACGGCCATTTACACTCTGGAGGCAGCTGTGGAGGAATAAGTGTTTGGGGTTTGGGCCGATGGTAGGCTTCGTTCCATGCCAACAGGGAAGCACGACTACAAGGAGGAGGAGCCCTCCGAAGAGCACACACAGGCCACTGAAGTAGAAAGCCATGTCGTAAGAAGCGGTCCAATCATAAAACCAACCTGAAAGAGAAGAGAGAGAGATGCCAAAAACGGAGCCAAGCCCTCCTATCTCACACCCATGCCATTAAAGAAGATTTCCCCTTCCATAAAATTGTCACACCAGAACATGATTGCTGAGGAAACTGCCAGTCAAGGGTGCCAGGGCTTTGAACCCGAGCCATTGACAAGCCACAATGGCAGCCAATGGCCCTACTCTTGCCGGCTGTTGTATCACGTAGGTGGAAAGGATTACTGTGTGGAGCACAAACCAGGATACGAGTTTTTAAGGATACTGAGAATATGCCGCTCTACTTTTCCATTGTAATTGAATAATGCTACATCTCCACATCTTGTCAATCAGAAAGCTCGACAGTTCAGCGGTTCGAATCCCTAGTGCCACGTAACAGGGTGAGCTCCCGTTACTTGTCCCAGCTTCTACCAACCTAGCAGTTCGAAACCACATTTAAAAAAAAGCAAGTAGAAAAATAGGGACCACTTTGGAACACCTTTGAAAGGTGTTCCATGCACCTTTGGTGTTGAGCCATGCCAGCCACATGACCACAGAGACGTCTTCGGACAGTGCTAGCTCTTCGGCTTTGAAATGGAGATGAGCACCACCCCCTAGAGTTGGGAACGACTAGCACATATGTGCGAGGGAACCTTTACCTTTACATCTCCACTAGCAGGTTCTGCAGATGGAGGCCATTTTTGAAAAGAAGGCATGGCATCTGGCTGAAATGCCGACTTACCTACAACTGGGGGTCCAAGGCTGTTTCCAAGTCCAGCGAAAAACATCAAGATGCCATAGGCATGGGTCAGTTTCTCGATCCCCACCGTCTGGGTTGTGACATAAGGGAAAATCGACCAGTTTCCCGCCAGGAACCCTAAAACCCCCGAAAGGATTGCCAGAGTACTGTAGCTTTGAGCGAAGGGGATCAAGACCAAGGCCGCCGCCGTCAAGATCAACGTCAGGATGTAGAGATATAAAGCGTTAATCCTGTCTACATCCGCCAGGACCCCCAGGGCCAACTTCCCCACAGCGGTCATAATGCCGATGATGGAGATCAGAGGGATGGCACAGTCCCCCTCGATGACGTTTGAGCTCCTCGCCACGTCCTCCATGAGCAAGGAAGGAGGGAAGGCGCCAACGTCGAAGAGGAAGATGGCAATGAAGAGGGCAGAAAAGACTTTGTTTTTAAAAAGACTCAGGGTGTCCTCCCAGTAATTTAAATACAGGTCCCATTTCTGCTTAGCCAGTTGTTTGCACAGGTAAGTTTGTTCTGCAACTTTCTTTGGGTAGCTCTCTGCCTCTCTTGGGGAGGCCGAGAGCAGCTGGCTTTGAACTGGGAGTCCATTCGCTTGGCGGTTGCTGTCCGGCACCTGATTCTCCCCTTTTCCCTCACTCTGGGCCTTTTCAGGTATGGTGATGTGTTCTTCACGAGAGAACTTCTCTTTTCTGTTATAAATGAGGTATTGATCTGGAACCTTCTCCGGATCAGGTTTCTGGGCCACCGGCAGAGGCCTCATCAGGCTGCCACAGGCTAGGATGTTTAGAGAGAGTGCGCCAATTATCAGCAGACAGCCATCCAACCCATACAGTTCAATCAGCTCTTTCTGTAAGGCAGCATAGATGAAAAGGCCAATGCTTGACCCTGCAAGAAGGAAGAAAAGGAGCATGTCAGTAGATACATATCATTGTCTGCTGTGCCTTGGCTCCCAATGTAATAAATAGTATAAAAATAATATAAAAAGCTGCTGAGCAGAACAATAGCATCAAAAGGTTTCTAGAGCAAAGCCAACAGTTTTGGTTTTCAAAATTGGTGTTTCCACAGAGGCTGGAAGGGCTGAACCAGATCACCCGTTCCTGGCTGAGTCCATTGTCTCCCTCCCTCTCTCTCTCTCTCTCTCCTCTCTTTCTTACTTTCTCTCTCTCTCTTTCTCCTCTCCTCTCTCTCTTCTCTCTTTTTCTCACTCTCTTTCTCTGTCTCTCCTCCTCTCTCTCTGCTCTTTCTCTTTCTCCTTCTCCTCCTCTCTCTCTCCTTTCTTTCTTTCTGTCTCTCTCTTAATCCTTTTCTCCTCCTCTCTTTGTCTCTGTCTCTGTCTCAGTCTCTATCTCTGTCTTTCTCCTCTCTTTCTTACTGTCTCTCTCTCTTGCTCCTCTCCTCTCTCTTTCTTCTCTCTTTCTTTCTCACTCTCTCTGTCTCTCCTCCTCTCTCTCTTCTCTTTTTCTTTCTCCTTCTCCTCTCTCTCTCCTCTTTCTTTCTTTCTGTCTCTCTCTTTCTCCTTTTCTCCTTTCTCTGTCTCTCTCTCTCTTAAAATTATCCTATCAAAATCTAGCTCATCCAAAGGACCAGCATTGATAAGCATTGATTTCATGATAAAATTATGGAAGTGGAGGAATAGCCTGAAACTGATCAGAAGTAATGTTTAACCATGATAAATGTAGATCGATTTTTGGCATTTGGATGATATAATCTCAGTCAACCAAACTCTGTGGTTTTTTTTTGTTTGTTTGTTCTTTTTAAATTTTGATTTATATGCCACCCTTTTCCGGAGACTCAGGGCGGCTTACAAGGCGTTAAGCAATAGCCTTCATACTTTTGTATGTTTTATACAAAGTCAGCTTATTGTCCCCACAGTCTGGGTCCTCATTTTACCTACCTTTGAAAGGATGAAAGGCTGAGTCAACCTTGAGCCTGGTGAGATTTGAACTTGCAGTAATTGCGGGCAGCTGGAAGCTAAATACTACCTTTAACAGTAGCATTAGTCTGCTGCGCCACTCAGGCTCCTGTTTAAGGTCATTCCAACCAGAGTGTCAGCTAAAAAAAAACCTACCTGTGGAAATGAGACCGAGTGCGAGGCCTCTACGTTTGTCAAAGTATTGGCACGTGATTGTGACGGTGGCTGTGTACAATAAGCCACATCCAAGTCCTAAAGGCATAGAAAAGTTTATGGCATATAATCAGTGCCCCAAAACTCTTGGCTAATGTGATTAAAGTTCAATGAAAGGACACAGGGAACCATTCTGGAGGGTTCCCCAAACACCTGCACCATTCACCTGAATATCAGGGAAATTCTGGGCCCCCGCAAGTCTTTTGGAAATTCAGCCACCCACCAGGGAAGATTAGGGTCTAGGTTTAAAGTCCACCTTCTAGAAGATGCCTTTAACTCCTGACCATTTGATTCTCTTGCTATCTGGCAGAGCCAAAGAGGACCTTGGGAATTTTCTTACCAACAATAATTCCATAGGAACAAAACAGAAAGTAGAGATTGGGAGCCAAGCTGCTTATCATCAGGCCTCCTGCCACCATGAAGCTACTGAAGATGGTCACTGGCCGTGCGCCGAAAGCGGAGACGCAGGTGCTGCAGATGGGACCTCCATGAGGACAATTGGGGTGGGGGGGGGGAGAGAGAGCGAGAAACATAGGCACAATCTTATTTTGAATGATTATAAAAGGAGTTGATCAAGAGATTGGTTGACCTCTCTTATATCCAAAAAAAGAAGGTATTTTAATGCTTATTTTATCATTTTTACACCAGGAGTGTTCTAACCATCAACTAAGCCTCTGAGAACCACATTGGAGTTGTGGCAGACCTGCACCATGCCAAATCCCCTCTCCTCTTTGTCACAGCAAAGCTGGCTGTGGAATTCTGGGAGTTGAAGTCCACCAGGCTTCAAGTTGCCAAGGTTGCAGATCTCTGCCCTAAAGGGAGTTACCTGGCTAATGCTCATGTGACTGTGTATATATAAGATTTTCATCTATGGACTTAACCAATAAACCCATCGTACTATACATACAGCAGCAGCTGGTTCCTCCCACTCTCTGCCTCTCAGCAGGGACAAAACCATCCATATAACTTTTTCTTCCCATCAAGTGTTTAGATGAAACTCCTGTTTGCACCACCCAATGTCCTGTGTGCCTGCACAGGGATCAGTCCAGCTGAGGATCATGGGCTTGATTTTCGATTCAACTAGGACTGTAGACTTCTTAAATTGAACCAAACCCTATGAGGAGTTAGCCTGATTTAATCTGCAATTCTGCAGCAATTTCTGGGAGAACAAGGTAATAATTCCTTCACTTCCAACTGTCCCAGGGGTGAAATCCAAAATTTTTCCCTACCGGTTCTGTGGCCGTGGCTTGGTGGGCGTGGTATGGCTTGGTGGGGCAGGGGAAGGATATTGCAAAATCTCCATTCCCACCCCACTCCAGGGGAAGGATAGTGCAAAATCCCCATTCCCTTCCCCACTCCTGGGGGAAGGATATTGCAAAATCTCCATTCCCACCCTACTCTGGGGCCACCCAGAGGTGGTATTTGCTGGTTCTCCGAACTGCTCAAAATTTCTGCTACCGGTTCTCCAGAACCTGTCAGAACCTGCTGGATTTCACCCCTGAACTGTCCCCCTTCCTCCATGGATTTGTGGTATCTCTACTCTTGTTATCCTTCTCCACCGCTTTGCAAGAGTTAAAACAGCCAGAATTGACTGAAAGATAAAAAAGAGGTAGAGACTGTTTCAAGGAAATGCAACAGAGAACTGATGGGAGGATATCTGAGATCTGGGAACCAAGTGACCAGTTTTAAGCCTATTAGATGTTTCAGTTTTCAGCCTTGCATACCATTTTAATTTAAAGAAACTCAAGACTGAAGGTAATCCGTAAAACAGAGAGCCACTAAGTAGGCCTGTGCATTTTTGTGCCTTTTCATGACTTGGCACCAGGAGCCGAGGGCTAGACAAGTTTCGCCACTCTTACGAAAGCAAACACCTAGGATTGTTCGTGGTTTTGCTCTGTTCATCAGGGATTATGCCTTCCTGTTGAAGGATTTTGCAGCAGGGAAGACAGGTGGGGTAGGACACGGAGTGAAGTGGGCAGGAGCCCCACCCTAACCCTAACCCTAACCGTGACCCTCTGGGGCCCATCAGCTTGGGATGGACAAGCAGGAGAAGCTGAACAAGGTCTACCTTCCCACCTTTCCTCTTTCAAGCAATGCAGTCCATGTCTTCTGACTTTGGGGAACAGACATTGCAAGTGTCTTCAGGTCTCCCAAACCTGCAAAGCCAATTTGTTCAGGAATGAAGGCGATGTCCGTGCACAATGAGGCAGAAGCAGTCCAACAACTGCAACACCAGGGGAGCTCCAAGGAAGAACTTGCCCTTGCTAAAAATGGAGTCCCTTCAGATTAACAGAGTTGGAAGGGACCTTATAGGTCATCTAGTCCAACTCCCCGCTCAAGCAGGAGACCCTACACCATTTTTGATAAATGGCAGTCCAATCTTTTCTTGAAAGCCTCCAGTGATGAAGCTCCCACAACTTCCAAAGGCAACTTCTGTTCCATTGGTTGATTGTTCTCACTGTCAGAAAGTTCCTCCTTATTTCTAGGTTGAATCTCTCTTTGGTCAGTTTCCATCCATTATTCCTTGTCTGTTCAGGTGCCTTGGAAAATAGCTTGACCCTCTCCTCTCTGTGGCAGCCCCTCAAATATTGGAAGACTGCTCTCATGTCTCCCCTGGTCCTTCTCTTCACTAGACATGCCATGCCCAGTTCCTGTAATCATTCTTCATGTGTTTTAGTCTCCAGTCCCCTAATCATTCTGGTTGCTCTCCTCTGCACTTTCTCTAGAGTCTCAACTCTTCTGCCTTTGGGCCTTAACCTGAGATTCAGAGGGGTTCATTTCTGGGAGTTGAGGTCCCCAAGACTGAAAGTTACCAAGGTTGGAAAACTTGCTCTAGGGGGCCTCGTGACCTTCCCATGGAAAGCATCTCTTGGGGAACTTAAAGCCCCAGTTTCCAGCCTTTCTCTACCAAGTCCACAAAAGAATCAGAAGGCAGGGCAAGAAGCAATGGATGGAAACTAATCAAGGAGAGAAGCAACCTAGAACTAAGGAGAAATTTCCTGACAGTGAAAACAATGAACCAGTGGAACAGCTGGCCTTCAGAAACTCCATCCCTGGAGGTTTTTAAAGAGAGATTGGACCACCATTTGTTTGAAATGGTACAAGGTTTCCTGCTTGAGCAGGGGGTTGGACTAGAACAGGGGTCTCCAACCTTGGCAAAGCTGGCTGGGGAATTCTGGGAGTTGAAGTCCACCAGGCTTAAAGTTGCCAAGGTTGGAGACCCCTAGACTACAAGATCTTTATGATCCCTTCCAACTCTGTTATTCAGTTATTCTATTGAGTCGAGGCAGCTTCCTTCCTTTCCCAGTGTTTTACAAGCAACAAAGGCTGGTGGTTTTTTTAAGATTCACACCTCTTCACCATTCATGAGGATGGTCTATTTCCATTCCTCACTCCCTTCTTCTTCTTCTCCCCCACCTCTTCTTCCTGCTTTTCTGTTCTTCCTTGCTTGAACTTCATTTTGCAAGGCCTGCTAAACGTACAGACTTCCAAGGCATTCATGTTTCCACTTTTAAATCTATTTTTACCACAAAGCAGTTAGAGAAGGGCCGGCAACCATCTCCTTTGCTGTGACTCACACAACTCTCCAAAAAAGCCTTTGTATTTTTAACACCTTTAAAGTATGCAAAGTCATTGTGGTACCTTTATAAAATCCACCAAGGTCAAAATCATTATTTTAGATACCAGAGAAGTTATTATCACCTCCAATGGGCACTGTCAAAAACCAACCTCTTATCAGCCCTGCCCTGCATTAAGGAAATTTGCATATAGATGCAATTCTGCCAGATCATTTATTCAATCTCTTATTACTCAACTCTGTTCTACAAATAGAGAAGCAATTATTGCTTCTCCTGTAATCTGCATCTGCATATCTTTATTTTTTTTCACTGCAAAGTTTTAAAAGCATTTTCCTTCACTGCTTCTCACACATGTATTTAAAGTTGGCTTAAATAAATGCATTATCATCACCATCACTACCATTTTTTAATAAAACAAAAGGACAAAGTAGTTTACAATAATTAAAATAATATTTAAAAGCAATAGGGGGAAAAGTACCATATTAATCCGCATACTCCACAATTCCCTTACAAATGTCTGACCTGCAGAATTTTAGAGGACAATTTTGGAAGTAAAAACAGATTCTCTTTTTATGGGGCATGTTGGATATTTTTACATTTTATAGCTCTTTGTCCTTCCCCTGAATTGAGTCAAGTTAAATGCAGACATGCTGGTAGAGTCAACAGCTTATAAAAACCTAACTCTGCAAATGGCAACTTCTATTTTAATTCTTTTTGAAATTAGTATAACTTATACCTCTTGTGGTGAATACACAGAACTGAACTATCTAATTTGCGAAATTCTGGCCTTCAATTTTCCCTACACTAAAGATGCTGTGCGTGCAAATATTACAATTCTAGAGATTCCCTATTTCTCGCATCATCTAATATGTAAAATTAGAGACTTGCCAAGCTACAGTAGCTGTTTCTATGATTAGAATGGAAATATATATATTTGTGCAGGAAAGGGGCTGCAAATCTTTAGTCATCGGTGCTTCAGATATTATGTGGCTCTCACAAAGCAAAAACCACAACATTTGTCCTATTCTTAACTGCCTGCTAAACTGAAATGGAAAGCAACTTTCCACAGAAATCATTGCCACCACGTTTTTTGGTACTAAGTACAACGGCAATGACTTGCGTAGATTATCTGAAGAGTCCAGGCTGATGGCAACTAAATGATTATTTTTAAATTTCTTGTAATAAAAGTTACTGGTTTGCAGCCGTATATCATTTCGCATTGAAAGGGCATTGCTGGAATTGATCTTCCCACTGAAAGAAATGCCAGCCCCTTTTTTAGTGGATTTCTTTAATCAAAGGTCTTCTAAATAAATATAAAGGTTAGAGATTTCTTTTCTTTTTTGCAAGGGAGACTTACTTGCGAGCAGCCCCACTCCACTGGCCAGGGATCCGACCCAGGCAGTCTTTCCTTTCCCTTCTCCAAAGAGGTCCAGCCATTCCATGTAGAGCACCCCAACCGCCAAGGGCGACCCGTAGCACAAGAACTGGGTGAAGAAGGAGCTGAGGACTATCACCCATCCCCACCCACCATCGGGTGATTTCTGGAACACCATTTTCCAGCAGGATCTGAGGGGTCACGACCAAGCCCTGCAGAGAGAAAGAGAAACAAATGGGGGAAAAGGGGCACAGCTGACTCAATGCTGGACATGCACTGAAGGCCACGATGAATCTGAGCTCAAGGATGAGAAGAAGAGAATGACACAAGACCTTGGGAACCTGTGCCAAGGCAAACGGCCAGCAATTTCTGGTTTCCACCGGACTGCTCTCAAAAGCCGCATTCAGGCCCAGGCGTTTTCTCTCACAGCCACTGGCTGGACTACGGTCTGTCCAAGTTGTGGCTTTGTGGTCCTCTGGACCAGCAGCCAATTGGAACAGCCCTAAAGGTGATGCCACAAAACTGCTCTCTTCTCTCTTCTTCTTCAATGAACTAGAAGCTGTGGGACCACCTGGTCCATGCAGGTTGCTGAGCAGGATTTGGGGCCTGGACATCTCCCCTCCTTGGCTGCCAACTTGAAGATTTGAACATCTAGATCAGGGGTCTCCAACCTTGGCAACTTTAAGCAAAGCTGGCTGGGGAATTCTGCGAGTTGAAGTCCTCCAGGCTTAAAGTTGCCAAGGTTGGAGACCCCTGATCTAGAAGGACCACCAGGGATGCTTCTTGCAGACGAGGCTTTCGTTTGCAAGAAAAAAGTGGCCCTTTAGAGCACCATCCCTGGGAACAGGGCGAGAGTCATGCCTGCTGCCATCTCCTCTTTGTCCACTACTTAACCCAAGGGGAAGGTTCCATCAATATTTTTTTTGTGAAATGCTGCGCACTAAAAAACAGAACACTTGAAGCTCTTGGATATTTCTGCAGCTAATTTTGATTCAGGGGTGTGTGGGGGTACTGAGGTGGGGTCACATCTAAGAAGACTTTACCCTTCTGACCTCACAGTTTTTGCCAAGTTCTTGTTGCCCAGAGAAGGTGCCCTTCTGCACTCCCAGATCCTGGTCTTCATGAGGCAGCTAACTAGAAATTAACAGACCTTCCAGGGGACGATGCAAATTCTTGAAATGTGTTAAAAGTCTGAGCTGCTCCTCCTTAAGGGAGCTGGGTGCCTTGTCTTGACTGTCCCATTTGGTGAACAAAATGCATTCCTGGAGAAGGACTTTGGATTACTGTTTAAATTAACTTGAAAGCAAGTTAATCTTGCTGCAAGATAGAAATAAGTTGTCCTGCCATTCCTGTCCTTACAGCAAGCATTAATGTCCCCATCAAAAGGCTCAACACTCTAATTTTCAACAATCCAAGCTGGTTCTTTCCAAAATCTCCTCTCTGGCTCAATAACCTGCTTTACCTGCAGGTTGATAAGGCTGTTCTCCTACACCTCCTCAGCCCTGGGGCAAAATTTCCTTCCCAGTACTGCAGCTGTGTATTATACTGGGATATCTAGACTGCAATGGGAAGGAAAAGGAGCTCTTCTCGAACATGTATGACATTCAGCCGGAAGAAAGTAAAAATGCTTAAAAGCTGAGCTTTTATTCACTAAAATATTATTTTGCTCCTATTAGCTGAAGCACAGAGGAAGGGTCAACACATTAGGACATATCACCAAGTCAGAATGTTTTTCTCCTTCCGTCCACACATGTGGGAAAGGACCTAAAATACAGGAGTAGCCTCACCACCCTATCTTCTGGCCTGCTTTCTGCTTGAGTTGTTCCACTGAAACCTCTTGGCCCAGAAGTGCAGACACAGGGTCTGTCCAGACGGTGAAGGCACCAATGAATCCTAAAGGTTCCTGAGGAACATCAGAAGGGCTGAGATGATTTATCTAGAAGACCCAAAGGGGCTTCTGGCAGCCTTGGGTGTCATGTTGCATCCACCTGCAGCTGTACCCAGGACTGTGGGGCTGTCTCTGCAGCTGCAGTGGGAGCCCAAAGAAGACGGGTTTGGCTTAAGAGCTTGCCACCCTGCGTGCTCCAAACCCCCTTTTGCACTGGACTGCATTTGAGCTGCACAACCAAGAAGAGGTGAAGGGCAGCCTGCTTATCAAGCCCTCCCTGTGACAATTGCCTCAAGCCACCTCAGTCTACTTCATCTCACATGCAGATGAACACAACAGCTGCCTTGAGCCCAGAAGAACCTTGTTTCCACCTCCAGTCATACAGAGAGTAGATGTGACTCAGGGCTGAACTGCTGTGCTCTTGGTTGTCCAAGTCTGTTTTCGTTTTTTTGTTTCCTGCAGATGTTTTGTTGCCAGGTTAGGTAACACCATTCATAAATGTTTATGTTGCAGATTTAAGGCTTCCTCATGTCCTCAAGACTGCTTCCTTCTTAACTGATGGAACATTTCGTTTGTGCCTAGATAGAGGTGAAGGGACAGCCAAGAATGTGTTTTCAGGATAGGATCACTGCAGCCCCTCCCTCCCTCCCCCCTCCCCCCAAATTTCCCACCCCACTCGATGCTTCCTGCCTAATGATCTATTCTAGCTTTCATTCAGGCTTGTGTTCAGCACATCAGTCATCCAACATTCCTTCAACATAATGTTTGCATCCTAAGGCTTTCCTTGTCTCCCTTTCTTTTCTCTTTCTTTTCTTCTCTTTTCTTCTTCTCTTCTCTATTTTCTTTTCTTTCTTCTTTTTCCCCCTAAGACTGCTGCCAAGATAAAAAAAAAAAAAAAGAGCGTTCTACATCTGATAAGTATGGTCTCCTTCAGACTTTTGGTAACTGCAAGAATGTTACTTTTTGCAATAGATAATCCTATACTTCAAACTTACAAACTTCGTCCTCTTTTAAGAAGCTTGGAAACTGAAATTCAAACCTTTTGCTCTCTTGTTCTATGGATGTTTGCCCTCCACAAGAGGACCCTGCTTGCCCCCCTCCCCAGATATGAGTCACCGGGATTGGGGGAGCCCCACTTTTCAAATCCATGGAAAGGTCGACTTCAGTGAGGTTTACTCTTGAGTTGATTTTCAGCAGCCTCCCTTTATGCTAAGCCCAATTAATTGGCTTCTATGCTTTTGCTTGTTGATTTGGGGGGGGAGGGGTGTTTCTACTCAAAGTATTCCTGCACCTAAACTGAGAAGGAGGAAAGATATACCTTAAACATGGTAGACTCCCACCCACCCACCCCCTCCCCCCAAAAGCTGCTTGGAGATTATGGCCTTGTTGGGGGATCTCTGCACCCAACCGCAGGCTGCCAGGAGCAGAGGGGAAGTCTCCCTCGTGACGGGCCCTGTGGATGTGTTCACACATGAGCGTGAAACCACAACACAGGCTTCCCAAACCACAAGGACCGGTCCGTGTCACATGCCGAGCTCCACACCAGCAAACAATCTGACAAATAAATAAATGAACAAGATGCAGGATTTGGCGGGTTCTTGGAGCGCCGATTAGCAGCTGCACCGAGCGAGGACAGGTGAGCCCGGCAAGGTCTTCCCTTCGCCCGCCAGGAGCGGAGGGAGACGGGCCGAGGGGCCCCCTTTTCTTGCCGGCCGGGGGATGATGGGCCAAGAGACGGCCAGCGCGGGTAGAAAAGCAGCTTCGGACGAGGAGAAGCGCCTTCTCCAGAGTTGGGACCGGCCCGAAGACCAAGCTTCAGGCTTTGACCCCCACCCCCCAATTCCCCCGGACACACACAGCCAAACTCCCTCCGGGGCCCCAACCTTCGGCGTGTTTACTCAGGAGGCAGCCTCCCTGCAGCCCAGCAGCTGCTGGCAAGTCCGCCTTCCCACCTCCTGGCCAATGCCTCGGACTACAAAGCTCACCCTCCCCTGCCTGGCGGCCACGGTCCTCACGCATCAAGCCGGGGACTCGCCCGCCTCCCTCCGCCCCGTTAAACGGCCAGCTCTTTTCCCGGCAGCCGGCCGGGGCTCTTTGCAAGTCCTCGTCCGCGGAAAAGCTGCGCCTGGCTCTCCATCCCTCTCCGCCTGCCTCCGTTTCCCGGGGCTGCCGGCGGCAGAGACCGAGGAGGAGGCAGGCAGGCAGGCAGGCTCGCCCCCTTCCTTCCTTCCTTCCTTCCTTCCTTCCTTCCTTCCTTCCCTCCCTCCGCTCCCCTCCGCTCCTCTCCCGCCTTCCCTTTACCTGCCGCCCGCCCTGCCTGGTGCGCCCTGCCTGGCGCAGCCCTCCGGCCTTGGGGCGCCTGGCTGGCGAGTGTCCGCGGGGCTCCCTTCCTGCCGCTTCGCTGCAGCCGAGGAGCCGCCGGCCGGCAGGCAGCCAGCCAGCCGGTCCAAACCGGTTGGAACCGACGACAGGGCGGCGAGGCGCTTTCGGGAGAGGAAGGCGGCGGCATCGCGGAGGCTCGAGCTGCGCTGCTCCGCCCGCCCGCCCGCTCGCTCGGCGCCGTCCGCCAGCAAGGGGCCCGCCCGGCTCAGGGCCGGATCCTGCGCCCGCCCGCCCCCCGCCGGCATCCGCCTTGCGCGCAGCCCCATCTGGGCTGCAGGCTGCGCGCTGGAGAGCGCCGGGCCTGGCCGCGCATCCCTGCCGCCATCCTTCGCGCCTGGCAGCTCCCTTGGCCCCTTTGCCACGATCCCGGCCAAGGCGGGATGCCCCGAACCGCTTCCCCTTGAGTCAGGGGGGAATCCTATGAAATGAGCCCCCTGGGGAGAGGTGGAAGGCCGGGTAAGGGGCGACCCTCTTGCCCTTGGGGTTCTCAAGGAGACAAGCCCCATGGCTGAGGAGGGAGCGATTCCCCCCCTCACCCAACTCATGGCAGGAACTGCTGCCCCCACCCCACCACCCCACTCCCCAAAGCCTTCCATATGTGGCCAGAGATTCAGCCAAATCTTTTTTCTGGGCAGCAGAATCCTTCCTTCCCTGCCTCTGGTTCCTTCTCTTCCTCATCCCTTCTTCTTACCTGGAGACCTTCAGCTAAGGTGAGGTTGGACTCAGAGACCGACCATTATTCGAGCTTCTGAGCTGCTCCATTCAAGAGTTCTGTCTGAAAACAACAGTTGGGCAAACAGACAACATGAGCTGGATCCCAATGACCATGGGGAGACACTGAGTGTCTCTTCAGCTACCATTTGGTGGTCATCAGGGTTTATGGAGACCAGGTCTGAGAACTTCAGCTGCTCAAGAAACTAATGTGGAGAGGGAAGAGAAAGCAGAAAACAGAGTCGAGGATGAGTACAGAAGAGAAGCTGGAGTGGGTAAAGCCAAGCGCAAGAGACTTCTACAGAACTCTGTCAGTCTTCCTCCTTCCTTCTCTGTCTCTTAAATCTTCCTTCTCTCTTCCCCCTCCCCCCTCCCCTTTTTCAATTATTTGCTTCTTTCCTGGTCTGTTTGTTTATTGGGTCTTGGGTTACATATGATGAGTAAATAAATATGGACTCTGATTCTCAGAAATGGTGGAGGAAGGATCCTTGGACACCCAAAGCAGTAAAAGAGGAAGTTAAGAAGTAGTAGTGATGGAGGAGACACTGGGTGAAAGAAAGGTCATTGATTTCTTAGATGACCTTCTTATTTTCTTTTTTTTTAATTTAATCTTTATTAATTATTTACAAATAAAAAAACATATAATGTAATTATCAAACAGATATGAGTTATATATAGGTACACAGCACAACACATAAAGACAACCACATATAAGGACTAACCAGGGGTCATATCGATCCCCCAGATACCTATTCATAGTTACATCCCAGTAAATCTGTTTGTTCAGATAACATTGACTATTTTAAATACCAAATGCTATCTAATTATGACTAAGCATATATGTAATACTATATTGTTTACTCTATGTTTGTCCTCTTCTTTAGCCATATATACCAGCGTTCCCAGTTACTGTAGTATATGGATTCTTTTCTCTCTCTCAGGATATACGTTAATTTGTCCAATTCGGCACAATTCAATATCTTATTTATTATAAGTTGATCTGACGGTGTATTTGCATTTTTCCACTGCTGGGCCAGTGCCATTCTCGCTGCTGTTGTAATATGGATAAATAGGTGCCAATCTTGTTTGCCCACGTCTTTTAGTTTGATTCTGAGTAAGTAAGAATCTGGAATTAGACTGGTCTTAGTTTCCTTTAAGAAAACATTTTAAAAATATAGAAAAAAAAAGCTTAATTTAGGTTAAATTAATCTACATTAAATAAGATTAAATAGTTTTATAATGCTGGGGTGTCATATGGAAATCCAAAGTCTCAGCTAGATGTCTTTCTAAGATCTCAATTTATGTCTATGGAGTTTCTCAGTCATCCAGTCATGGTTGTCCCAAAGGTGCTTTTTCAAAAGGCAACTGGACTTCCTTTGCTTTTGCTTGAAGATGTTTCACTTCTCATCCAAGAAGCTTCTTCAGTTCTGAGAAGAACTAAAGAAGCTTCTTGGATGAGAAGCGAAATATCTTCAAGCAAAAAGCAAAAGAAGTCCAGTTGCCTTTTGAAAAAGCACCTTTGGGATGCCAATTTATGCAAAACATAAACGAGCAACAAGCCAATAAAGGGGGTTCCAAAATGACTTCCAGCAAGCAGACCTGCCATCTTCATTGGCTCTCAAGGCAGTCTTGCCCAAGGGAGGGGCAGCAGCAAAAGTGCCACAGGCATCTGGCACATCCTGTGGAAAGAGAAGGATAACTCCAGAGGTGAGGGTCACATAATGTAACAACTGGTTCGCCCAGCACCGAAAATGTGAGCGCTTGCGCGGCTTCAAAACCACAGCGATATCGGACTGGATAGCGCCAGGGCAGGTTGCACCCACTGGTCGCAACTACTGATTCTCCTGAACTGGTCCAAACTGGCAGCAGCCCACCTGTGGATAACTCCCTGCTGTCTCCTGGAACGATAAACGGAAAGGCTTCCAAAGAGAAGATTTCAAAACCACCTATAAACCAGAAGACATGTAGTCCTGAATTTACACATTCATTTAGTGACCCTTCAAAGTTATGACGGCACTGAAAAAAGTGACTTGTGACCAGTGGTGGGTTTCAAATTTTTTTACTACCGGTTCTGTGGGTGTGGCTTGGTGGGCGTGGCTTGGTGGGCGTGGCAGGGGAAGGATACCATAAAATCTCCATTCCCACCCCACTCCAGGGGAAGGTTACTGCAAAATCCCCATTGCTCTCTGATCAGCTGGGACTCAGGAGGCAGAGAATAGATGGGGGTGGGGCCAGTCAGAATTTTTACTACCAGTTCTCCGAACTACTCGAAAATTTCCGCTACCGGTTCTCCAGAACTGGTCAGGACCTGCTGAAACCCACCTCTGCAGAAAACCCATTTTTCACTCCAAAGACAACTGCAGCATCCCCCACTGTCATGTGATCCAAATTCAGACGCTTGGCAACTGACTCATATTTATGACGGTTGCACTGTCCCGGGGTCAAGTCACCTTCTGAGGAGCAAAGTCAATGGGGAAGCCAGATTCACTTAACAACCGTGTTACAAGCTTAACAATTGCAGGGATTCACTTGCAAGAAAGACTGTGAAATGGGGCAAAACTCACTTAACCATGGTCTCGCTTAGCAATGGAAATTTTGCACTCAATTTTGGTTGTAAGTTGAGGACTACCTATATAAATTATATAAAATATAGTACATATACTTTATAAAATATAAACTATAAAACTAGAATCCTGAATTATTTTATCCTGGTAGAAGAGCCTTTGAGTCTCACACTTCTATCTTGGACCCCTCTTTACAAATCTTTTCATTATTGCTGTGATCTTTGATTTAATGTTAGATTTCTTGCTATCTGCTTTGAGGTCTGTGGATGAAAATGTGGGAGAATGCTCCTTTTAAGAGAACACGGCCTAATTTAAACTCAGTGCCATTTTGGATTCTGTGCCCCAAAATTTACCTTTCTGGAATTAGGGCTGTAGGAAGCTGGATTTCTAGCTTCTACTGGAGACTAAAGCTAGTATTCCCTTCACCGTGTTCATTAGACAGAAAAAAAATCTCTTAATAATAATTAAACATCCTCTTTCAAAATACCTTTCGTTCTTTCCCTGAATTCTTTCTCAAAGATCAGTCCAGCAGTGTCATCTGCCCTCCGCCCGTGGCTGTACAAAGCATCTCTGGGCTTGTTTTGTCTTTTCTCTCCAGAAATATATATATATATATCAGTATTTGAGGGGAAGGAGCAGGAAGATAGATAAGATAGGCAGATAAGGGGAACATGGTGGGGGACTCTGTAATTTTGCACACACACAGTCCTCCCCACAAGGTCAGGGTTATCCAAAAGACCACTCACAATTCAAGGGCGAGTTAGATGCTGTCCAGTTGATCTGTCTGGCTACCTGCAATTTGGCAGTTTGAATCTCACCAGGCTCAAGGTTGACTCAGCCTTCCGTCCTTCCGAAGTAGGTAAAATGAGGACCCAAATTGTTGGGGGCAAGAGGCTGACTCACTCTGTAAACCGCTTTGAGGGGGCTGTAACAGTGGTGGGTTCCTCCCAGTTCCGCCGAGCCAGTTGCGGTGACGATATGACATCACCGAACCGGTTCTGCCCCCCCGCCCCCACCCACCCACCCCCAGCCCTTGCGTTATTCTTACCTTTTATTTGGCCCCACCCCCAATCTATTGCTGCCTCCTGAGTCCCATCTGATGGCTAGAGGGAAAAAAACTGTTTAAACTCTTGCCACATGGCTTCAAAGGGCCACCCCACAGCTGATCAGTGTTAAAAGAAAACAAATGAGTAGACCGGTGCCTGCAAAAATACATGAGTAGACCGGTGCCTGCAAAAATAAATGGGTAGACCAGTGCCTGCAAAAATAAATGGGTAGACCAGTGCCTGCACAAATAAATGGGTAGATCAGTGCCTGCAAAAATAAACGGATAGACCAGTGCCTGCAAATATACATGAGTAGATCAGTGCCTACAAAAATACATGAGTAGATCAGTGCCTGCAAAAATAAATGGGTGGACCAGAACGCTCCAAGAACAAATGGGTAGACTGGTACAGCTCTGCAAGCAGTTAAAAGCCTGGTAGAGCAGTACCTCTGCTAAATCCTAAATAATTGTCACATGACCATCAAGCCATGCCCACAAAATAAGCCACGCCCACAGAACCAGTAGTAAAAAATTTTAGAACCCACCCCTGGGCTGTAAAGCACTGTAAAGTGGTATATAAGTCTAAGTGCTATTGCTGTTGCTATCTCTCAAAGGAACTGGGCCAGTCTCTGGAGGACTGGCTTCCCAGAGGCAAGGAGGCCTGGAGGGAGGCCTGTCACTTCTGAAATTAAGGGAGTCGCTTGGAGCAGAAACACCCCTGGCTGCGTCGTGAGATCCCTCTGAAAACATCTGCCAGGGCCCCCTAAAAACAGGACCACAGATGGTCCGCAGGCCTGGCTGAGCTGAAGGCAACCAAAAAATAATAAAGTTTTTAGTTGCTTAGATGGAGAGAGTCAACCAGAACAGCTGCAGGCCACACGGCTGGGTTCAAGCTCTCTTTTAGATGCAGGGGGTATATAGAAAGCAGGCTATTGTTCTGTTGGGGTGAGGTGCTTGGTCCTTTCCGCACTCACAGAGGTCTTTGTGAGCAGCAAATGGGAGCCACCTGCTATTCCTCCAACAGCTGGTTTGTGCTGGGTCTTTTTTCTGTTGAACATCTCCCCCCCTGCAGTCAAAACTCGGTTGATCAGCACAGCGGAATGTCTTTCCTCACTTCCTCCTCTTCCTGTTGATAAACAGCACCGAGGATCTGGAGGTGCAAAATGTCAGCCAGAGAAATCTGAAAGTGGCTTCATGCTGGTGTTTGGCTGCTTTCCAGACACACAAGAGGCGGAAATACAAATGTAGACACACTCTCTCTTTCGCACATTCACTCACACACGCACACCCTTTGTTGTTTTTTGCCGCTGGATCATGTGGGGCAGAGATGAGTTGGAGCCTGCAAGAGATCCAGAGGCCACCCCAACAAGAGACAGTGGCAGCCAGAATGAGTGGGGCAGAGGAGCATTTGCATCTTCTGATGGAATCCCTTCCCCCCCACACCCCAACCGACATGCAGGGTATATCAAGAGGGAAGGGGAAACAGTGGGGCAGGACTTTGAAGACTATCCCCACCCTAGGCTATGGACTCTTCCTGGGGTCTCTGCCCAGAAGGGGGTCTTTATAAGGAGCAGTTGGTAGGCAGTTCTGAGCTGCTGCCCTCCTCCAGTCAGAGCAGGGGTGGGATTCGGAATGTCTCCTGCTACAGCCCCAGCCAGATCTGGTCCCATTTTTAACAGAGTTGGAAGGGACCTTA